TCCTTCCTTCCTTCCTTCCTTCCTTCCTTCCTTCCTTCCTTCCTTCTGAAAGAAATCCTTTCAGAAAACTTGCCATATAGGGCTGGGGAGATGCTCAGTGGAAAAAGTGCTTGCCTGGCAAGTGCGAGGTCCTGAGTTTGATCCCTGGTACCACCAAAAAAAAAAGAAGAAAACTTTCCATATAAACTATTTACAGGCTGATCACTTCAGGTTAAAGTGAAAACTGTTGTACACAAGTGTAGTCATGGTGTTTGACAGTGCAGTGTTCTATTGTGTGTCTCCTAATCAGAGCTATGTAGCGCTCATGTATGTGTGACACAGTAGCGAGGCTGATTCAGCCACAGTGAGGTAGCAGTGGTGGGCCACATGATTGTTTTTCATCAGCTTCCTTCCTTACACCCTGCTCATTTGCAGAAGAACCTGCTTAGGGCTTCCTGAATCAGGGAAGACACTTTCTCCAGGCTGAGAAAGAAACTTGACTTACTCAAGCAAAATGAAACAAAAAACCTGACCCAGTACATTGTATCTAGCATATTTTACAAATGTTTAAAACGAGAGAAGCAAGTATATTCCTTTTCTTTCCCATATATCCATTCATTTCTCCTCATCTTACACGTATTTGTGTTCATGGTTTCTCGCCACTAAAATGATTTTATTAATGTGTGAACTCTTAACTGCTAATACCCCTATAGATAACTGTTTGATTTATGGTCAGATGCTTGAGCTCCTGCTCCATAGCCCTACTCTGGCCATTATAGAGTGTAAAGCTTACCACAGTTCTGGGCCCACCAGGGAGCGCAGAATCTAGCAGGGAGATACATGGACATGTGTGACCAAGTGGGGCAGTGATGGGATGCCTAATGGAAGTACAGAATATTCTCCTGGTTCCAAATAGAGACTGTTTAGATTAGGAGATGATCTAAATGTTCGACAAGTGTGACTCTGTGTAGGAGAGGCCAGGGTTGGAGCTGATTGGGGAAGGGTGGTATTCTTTAATAAATTCTGAACCTAAAGAAATGAAAAGAATTTTCTATTGAAAAATCAGCCACAAGTTTAGAGACAAGTTAATTTCTATTTGTATTTTTTGCATGCATTATCATGTTTCTATAGCTCAAAACAACTACTTGGGCTCTAACACTATATTTTTCTAAAGAAATATTTTGTTGCAAGTACCAACAGCCTTAGTAACTCTCTTATCCCTCTTATGTGCTGAGTGCAGTCGGAGGAAGAGGAGTTGGAGTTGGTGAGTGTGGGTTTCTGCTTGAAGGAAGTTGAAAAAGATGTAGAAAGTACTAATTGTGTTAAATGTTTTTTACCTAACCAGTGTTCTTTTGTTACAAAGATACCTTTTCTGTATAAAAATACTATCCACTTTGAATACAGCCTTTACAAATAATTGCTGTCCATGGGCACAGGATATTTACTAAAAGATTGTTTTAAAAGGAAAGATCCACAATACCTTATATAGCTTTCCAAATTATTAAAATATTTTTAGAAAATGACTTCACCATCAAAGTTCCTCAGATTGTAACACAGTCTTGTGTTATTTCTCTTTCTTTCAAAAAGATTACATCATTTCTGGTGAGGTCACCTTTTTCAGAGTTGGAATTATTTCATCCTGCGCGAGACAGTCTGAACCACAAGGGGGTTCCCTGTTTACTAAGAGGCATAACTGTAATTGAACACTCTCAAATCTACTTTTGTATGAGAAGATATTCTGTTCTTATAAGCAGCTCTTAATTTTTTTCTGCAAAACAAATGTTTTCTATTGGCTTTTCCTTTAGAAAATAAACATGACTGAAAATAACTTGGAGCTGATCTATTTCTTCGTTGGGAACTATAAACCACACTTCACAGAAGTGATGGTGTGCATTCAACATCAGTTGCTAATTAGATGACTTAAGGGGATAAAATGTTGAAAGTAGCTTTTAGTATGGATGGGGTTACGATTAAGTGCATGAGAGCATGGGGTAAAGGAAGCAGTTTCACTTATATTTTATTCTTACATGTTTCTGCATGCTAGTGTGTTTTGAGCAGTTTATTTTCTTTTCAACTGTGGGTCTTTGTGCTGTGTCCTTAAAATAGGAGAGGATTATGTAGCTTTGTGATCACTGTTTTAGATGTGTTTTTATATCGGTTAACTTAAATACATTTGTTACCTGTAAATGTAGTATTGGAAAGATTTACTTAATTGTATCATAATTATTAGCAAATGAAGTTAATAGTTGAAGCTAAAATAATTCATTTAACATTAAATCTGCTTATCTTTAGGAAGTCCTAAATGCTTATGGGAATTACCTATAACTATGTTGCCCTCTAGTGGTTCTATAGGCACTGACTCACAGGACCCAGTGCTCCTAAGATTTGTGCCTTTGATGGGCAGGGCTTATATACTGGAGTACGAGGAGCCTGCGGAGAACCCAGACCAACACCATGCCACACTGTATTCTTTCACCTAGAGAAAAAATATGAAAAAGAAAATTAAGTCAAAGGAGATCCCTATCGCATGAAGTCATTAAGGAGTATTAACTTTACGCTGAGACTAAAATGTACTGTACTTCCAGTCACCATACACTGACTTTCCACTTTTCTTAAAGTATACCTGTAATTACAGAACATCAGAGATAAATTTCTGAAGACTCTATAATAGAAATCATTAAAATAAATATCTGTGGCTTAAAGACATGGAGTCGGGGATATAGCTCAGTGGCATAAGCGCCTGCCTGGCAAGCACAAGGTTCTGAGTTTGATCCCCTGCACTACACACACACACACTAAACAGCCACACTCATAGTCTTTAAGATTTAGGTTAATTCAGATTTTAAAAGTTAATTTAAAATGCAGAGCTTTATGTGTTAGAGTCAAACAGAGTCAGAAACACATCTATCAGAACCAGAGTTAATTTAAATTGATTTGTGCTCTGAAGAAGGAATCATGGGTAGCTCCAATCCAGAGTAGGGAAGGCCAGGTGCACAGGCTCGTAGGTCCTGTACCAGGGCTTTTTCTGAAGAGAACCAGGCTCTGAGATCCCTTTAGAAGCCTTCGAATGGAGCAACTGTACCTCATGATGGCTAATACCTGTGGATCAGAAGAGATAAATATGTGTCTCTTTTTATCATCAGTTAAATAGAAATTGAGTCTACATGGTTTCTTAGGACAATGAGAATATTACCTCACATTTCTGTAGCATTTAGTTCCCTAATCGCTTTTAGCATATCATTTCATTTTATTTTCACAAAGCATTGTGAGACAAGTGGGACAAAGATTTCTATCATCTGTACATGAAAAATCTTAGTCAGAGGAGTTCAAGCTTTCTCTGAGCCTAGGAAGTGGTAAATCTGGGTTTGAAACTTAGGTGTACGTCTGCATGTCGTGTCTTTCTGACATCCCGTAGCATATTGTAGAAAAATGTGAACTAAAAAGAAAATAGATCTGTATTCTCATCAAATTCCAAGTATTTTAAAAGTACTTTAAAAAAAAAGTACTTAGAAAGTATCTAAAAGTATTTAGATCTAACCAAAAGGCCTTTCTGAAAACAGTGACAGCGGAAACTACCCACATTCTGATTATTTTCTAAGGGCCCTGAATAATTCTGTGTCAGACTTACACCCCTAAGTACAGTTACAGGCAGTCACTTTTTCTTTTATAAAAATTCATAAGCTGAATTTCTTTGGCTTTCTTGCATACTAGCAATATGGAGTTTATTCTGTTCCTCTGATCCTTGATTTTGGAAAAATCTTACTTTGAATGCAGAGAAATTATTCTGCCATACTCCTACACATAAAGGAAAATGACTGTTTTAAGCTAGCTTGATTAGTAGTTGGCCTTTTTACTCATTCCCAGTGTGAAAAAGGTGCTGTGTAGATGAAGCCAGTCAGCAAGCCTTCAATATTGCTCCATTTAGGCCTTTCTGTTCTTCAGAAGCCCTCTGCCCAGAGCCTGGGAAGAATAAAGGGCTAGAGTCTGAGCCAGTCGTTAAAAATAAGGCGCCTATAGGGTTGAAGGGAAGGCAAGCAGAATGTAAGCTTAGTTCAAACCATGTTAATATTAAAATCTTATAAAGAAAAGTGTTTTTCTGATCTGTGCTCATGAACTTACAGCGTGTATTTACACAAATGCCCTTCGCTGTCGTGGTAGCCTGGTGGTCTTTAATGGCTTTAACTCCTCATTACATTGACACATAAAAGTGTTACCACCCGTATGGTAAGTTTATTTTAAGGTTATGCTTCTGGCATTAAAAAACTATATTAAAGAAATGGACAATGAATAATTAATAAAAAATAGGTCTCTTTAAGTCAATTACTGAGCCCCATTAGTGTTTTTAAGATTTTCATGACTATTTCAGAAAGTAATGACATTCACATAAAACTGTGAAGTGTCACAATTAAATTAAAAGTTATTTTTAAAATATTAAGTCTGAACATAAATACCACATGGTGACACTTTTCCTTTTTTCTACTGTCTCACAGAGTACCCAAAGGATTAGCAGTTCTCAAGCTGCCCAGCCCCTTGCCACCCCTGTAGTGTCTGTAACAACCCCAAGTCTGCCTCCGCAGGGACTCGTGTACTCAGCGATGCCGACTGCCTACAACACTGGTGAGCCGTCTCTCTTTTTCTGGGTTGGTTACATTTTTCTGTGCTTTGTGATCAACATGTGCTTTTCTGATTTTCTTTGAAATAAACTGTCTTCAGCTTCTTACATACAAATTTTGGTATGTTGGAGAAAACAGGCTGGCCTTGAAACAGTTTCAGAAAATGCATTGATAATGAAATGATTTGAATGTTATTTCTCCCATGTGAACTTTCACTTATCTCTGAGAGAGCAACAAGCAGATAACTGCCCAACAAGTATTATCAAAATGTGGTGGGCATTCAGCCAAGAAAGACACTAGCCTGTTGCTTAGGTGGGGTTCTTTGGTTGGTTTTGGTTGTATTTTTTTGCTGTTTCTCATTACTTAGTGTTCAGTCTTTCAGGGTTTTGAAATAAGATGTTTTATCTTTCTGCTTTTGGCTTGCTTTTGAAAAGCTATGAGTACAGGGCTGGTGAGATGGCTCAGTGGTCTAAAGCACCTACTTAGAACAAGCTTAGCAAAGCACAGGGACTGTAGTTCAATCCCCCAGCACCACATGCCAGCCAGCCCGCCCCCTGGTGGGCTGAGCTGGCCACACATACACACAAAAATAAATAAATAAATTTTAAAAAAAAAAGAAAAGCTATGAGTTCTTTGAGAGAGGAGGCAGATGCCGAACTGTGGTAGGCAAGGTGCGGTTTCCTCCCTGTCACTAGACTGGTCTGGTCTGCATCATTTGTTGGTGAGGGTGGAAGAAGGACCTTTGCATTTCTCCTCACAGCTAGTCCACTGAGAGGGGCTTTTCACTTACTTACGGTTACATAGATATTTCATCATAAAATACCCTCACTTGGGGTCAGTTAGGAAAGATAAAGAATACTATAATGGTGGGGAGGGTGCTGTTTGCCAAGAGAGACATAGGGAAACCTGTGGTGGGCAGTAGGTTTCCTTTGGATTTGCCGTTCTGAAGAGGCAGGAATACGCATGTGGCTCCCCCCAGCTAAGTTGAACACCTGTTGCTTCAAAGAAAGAAAGGTCAAAGAAGGCTGTATAAATTATTCCTGCCAAATACCAAGAACACAGTGCAGTCAAATGATTGGCACATATAAACTGTGGTGGAGATCATCTCGTTTTTAGACTTCAATCTAAATGCTTTGGTACTCTGCTTTCATACTGCTGTGTGACGCTAACCTGGGGAGAACAGAATAGTTGATGCATTTAATTGCCACTTAGGTTCTAAGTAATACTTCTTCAAAAACAAAAATAACTTTAAGACATTTTGTTGAAAGAGAAAGCTTCCTTCTCCAGTAATCAGTATGGTGAAAAGCCCAAATCTATTGGCGGATACTAGCCTAAGGTCTGGGTACTAACCAGAGATTAAGCATTTGTAAATATTCTGTTTTAGTACATTGTCACTGGCTATATGAGTGGTACAGTACTAGGCATGCTGCGTCTTTTCTCTCAAGTTTATTCTAGAAAAGGAAATAAGTTTTACATTGATCATCATAGAGGAGGAAGTCCTAGGTTGTGATTTTTATTTTGTACTCTTTTTGTGTGTGTGGCATGGAAGATTGAACTCAGGCCTCACACATGATAGGCACGTGCTGTACTCTGAGCTACATCCTCAGCCCCAGTTTGTACTCTTGAGGTTGAAGAGAGGCTGGATGCTCGTAGAAGATGAAATCTGTACGTCAGGGTTAGACTGCAGTTTACTGCAGTTACTAAACATTTCACAATAGGTTTTCAGTGTACTTATACATTGCACTATACTTTTTTTTTTTTTTTTTTGTGGTACCAGGGATTGAGCTCAAGACCTTGTGCTTGCCAGGCAGCAAGCACTTACTCCACTGAGCTATCTCCCCAGTCCCTGCACTATATATATTTTTATAAATGCTGTTAAATTATTAAAAATTTTGTACATTTATATTTATATAGTATCTTAAAATATTTAAAATGTCACATACTGTGCAAGGAATTGCCAAAACATTTAAGAGTCAGGTCCCTTTGAAACCATCCGTCCTGAGCTTCAGTCTCACCCGCCCTTGGACTGACTGTATCTTTGCTCTTTCTCAGAACACCTGTTCAGCTTTGCCATATTGTCTTTTACCCTACATGTCATCTGATTTTTTTTTCTGTCTTCTGGTCTTTGTTGGTGTATAATCTACCTTTCTGTACTTACTTAGTGTCAGACACATTAGCAGGTAAAGGAGTGAATAAATAGGCAACTTTTTTGAAATAAAAGCAAAACAGTTCTATGTGAATGAATTCTATAAACACTTCCTCAGGGCCCCGCTATAATATCAATCCCAGCTTCAAGATTTGTAGACAATCTGTAGTTGCTTACTGGACATTGGAAATACAAAAGTGCATAGTCAGCATCAGAACATAGGGTCTGTCGGAGCAGAAAGGCGCAGGACAGGCAGCTTTAGGAAAGATCTGATGCTATTACCTTCAGGCCTGCCTTATGGTAAGGCATGAAGGAAGCGTGCAGGACTCAGGCAAGCCAGACAAGGAACCTGATCTCAGGGCAGGAAGTAGGGGGAGGACAGAGCAGTTAGGGTTAAAGATGGAGAGGTAAATAGGGTATATTGACCATGTTGTAAATTTTGGACATTGTCATGAGAACATTGGAAAGTTGTAAAATGTTTTTAAGTAAAAGACTGTCACGATCATATTAGTTGTGTTAAAAAGTTAGATTTAATTGCAGTGTCCATAGGAGTAAACATGAATGCCAAGAAGCCAGGAGTCAGGTTGTGGCCCACGTAGTGGCTGCTAGTGGCGTGGACCAGAGTCGTGGCAGCAGAGACTGTGAAGACTGTGTAGGCCAAGATAGTAGGCAGAACGGCTAGACTTGGTGGGTGGTGGAGGAGTGAGAGAAAGCAGCAGCAGGAAAGCACCCATAGGATGGATGGATGGATGGGTTCATTTATATCTATTTTGGTACTGGGGATCAAACTGAAGACATTGTACTTTCTGGGCAGGCACGTAAGCCAGTGAGCTATCTCCTGGGCCCGCCCATAGGTTTTGGCAAGGGCTGGTGGGGACTGTTGCTGCCCCTTTACCAAGGTACAGACTGTTTAAGGAGGAACAGATTTAGAGGACAGCCTGAGTCCAGTTTGGGCCATGTCAAGTGTGAGATGTTTGGAGAGGCATCGATGTGGGCATGTCACACCTGGGGTCCCTGGAGGCAGATGAAACTGGAGGAGCACCCAAGTTCAGGGCCTCCTGTCTGCCAAGGAGGGTGGCGAGAGTCCCGGGCTGAGGGGTGCAGGGATAGGCACCTCCCGAGGATGTGAGTCTTAAGAGCATGAGCAGTGCAAACATCGTTCTGACAGAAACCTCAGCACCAGTGTGCCGCTTCTGCTCAATCGCTCTTCTAAGGTTGTTCATTTACCAGGAAGGCCAACAACTTCTCACTCCTCTCTTGAGACATGAGAAGGTAAAAGAGTTTTTGTCGCCTCTGTAGAACTAAATGGAAAAGTAAGTGCTAATGATGAACTGAAATCTCTGTGTGGCTGATAACTAGCGTAATTGTGACTAATGCCTCATGTAAATGTATTATTCGCTTCTGTCCTGGAAAGTTTATCCATGAACTTGAGATGATTTTGGATGCAGAGAGCAAGGACAGTCCTAAATGCAGCTGTGTAATGATGTACTTATATCACTAGGCTTGTTGCCCCATGCAAAGGGATGCTGAGTACGTGCGTGTCCCTGAGCTTCATCACGACTTTCTGAGCCAGATTTGGTCTGGGTGAGCCCCAGGGCTTCTCTTGGTGTGAGATGGTGGTGGTGGCATTTAAAAGCCGTGGTGGCATTTAAAAGCCATAATAGTTGCATAGGCTGTAGCCCCGCACAGCAATCCTGTCTGCCGTTGCAGATTACTCATTGACCAGCGCCGACCTGTCGGCCTTGCAAGGCTTCAACTCCCCAGGAATGCTGTCTCTTGGGCAGGTGTCAGCCTGGCAGCAGCACCCTCTTGGACAAGCAGCCCTCAGCTCTCTCGTGTGAGTACCTGGAAACTTTCCCTGAACCTTTACCCTTAGCCTGTTCATTCTTGTTTTCTCTCAGTTGTAAACTCTCATGTGAATAGTGTTGCAATAATTCTTTTTTATTTCACAGTGTTATGAAAAAATACTGTCTTAACATGGTTCTATTTTATTTACTTATTTTTCTTAATTTTTTTATTTTTTTGGCGGGACCAGGGATTGAACTCAGGCCCTTGCACTTGTCAGGCAAGCACTTACTCTACTGAGCTATCTCCCCGGCCTTTTAACATGGTTTTAGATATGAGCTTGAATGCTAAGTAAACCAGGCATTCTTTGAAGGAGTTCAGGGAACAAGGGTTTCCTTTTCAGACAGACTGAGGTGGAGCAACTCAGCTGGTATCCAGGAGGGTTCCAAGGTACGGCTGCCACCCCACATACCACCCTTTGCCTACTAACCGATGATAAGCCACCCACTTCCTCCCTGTCTCCTGACGCCTGTTTCCAACTTCCTTGCTTGAGGGTGACACCTTGAAGGAATTCCCCTTGTTTTAGGCACTGTCAGAAGAGAAAGATGAGCTATGCCTTTTGCTTTACCCTAGCTTTCTATGGGAGGAAACTGGGAATGGGTACCCCATGTGTGAATCAGTCTTTATCAGACTTACATGGTCTGTCTCAGTCCAGTGCACACACCATACTTCATTCACAGAGCGAGCATTGCTTATGGGCAGGGTACGAAGATGTAAATGAAGAGGATTAGCAGGCTCTCCAAGCATGGAGGAAGAAGATCAGGCCTTTGTAGAGCCAGCCTGACAGTAGGCCATGGATCAGGTGGAGAAGAGCTATCAGTATAGTAGACCTTGCTGACTGCCTCAGCTTTGCTCAGTGTAGTAGGGACCACCAGCTTTCTAGCAGGGAAATCCATTCCCCTGCATTTTGAAAGAACCCCACATACATGTTGTAATCTGTGACCTTAAGAGGTGTGTCATGGGAAGAAAAGCACAATATCTTGGGCAAACTTCACTACACAGATTTTGGCTGTTGGGCTTATCCTAATCATCCTAAATGAAAACACTGAAATCAGACCTGGAAGCTGGACACAGTAGTGTACCGCTGTAGGCCCAGGAGCTTAGGGCCAGTAAGAGCCCATTTCAAAAAACAAAACAGGAAAGCAAATGGAAAGAGCTTGACACAGTTGCTGGAAGAATAGCTGCTGTTGTGCCTGTCACTAGGCCAGAGCAGAGAAGATACCAAGGAGGAAGAGGCAGTGAAGAGATTGCAGGTTTCCGTGTCATTCCTGGCATGGCATTCAGCTGTGCACAGCACAGCATCAGCCATAGAACTGTTTTTGCAAAGTTGAGATGCAAAAGTACTGTGATTGCAGGCATTTGAAGGACAGAACGCAGTAACTCAGCCATACCGTTTTGTTACTTCCTGGGAAATGTCATTTTTTGTGTGCCATACTGAAGGAGATGCCCAAATCAGTCTTGAGGAATTCTAGGATTTCCAACTTGGCTCTTTCCAGCAGGCAATGTCTACAGGATCATTATGTGGTGAGGACAGATGCACCCACAAAACATCTTACCTTTCTTATTTTTCCTTCAGCACTGGAGGGCAGTTATCTCAGGGTTCAAATTTATCCATCAACACCAACCAGAACATCAACATTAAATCAGAACCAATTTCACCTCCCCGGGATCGAATGACCCCTTCTGGCTTCCAGCAGCAGCAGCAGCAGCAGCAGCAACAACAACAACAACAACAACAACAGCAACAGCAACAGCAGCAGCAGCAGCAGCCGCCATCGCTGTCACAACCACCACAACCCCAACCACAGCCCCGGCAGGAAATGGGCCGCTCCCCTGTGGACAGTCTGAGCAGCTCTAGTAGCTCCTATGATGGGAGTGACCGTGAGGATCCACGGGGGGACTTCCACTCGCCAGTTGTGCTTGGCCGACCCCCAAACACTGAGGACAGAGAGAGTCCTTCTGTAAAGCGCATGAGGATGGACGCATGGGTGACCTAAGGTTTCCAACTCATGTTTGTACTTTGTGTTACTGCAGTGAACTGCCCTACATATCTACATTGGCAAATAAGGTCATGAGTTAAATATATTTATATGTACATACATACATATATATTCCTTTACGTATATATGTATGTGGTGTGAGTGTGTGTATGTGTGGGTGTGTGTTGCATATACCGAATCAGGCACTTACCTGCAGACTCTTGGTAGGTCTGCAGATGTGTGTCCCATGGCATACAAAGCACCCTGTAGGCACAGACTAGTCTGGCACTTCCTTGGACTACTTGTTTCATAAGATAACCATTTTTTGCAGAGAAATGTGTACCCGAATATAATTCTCCCACACTAGCTTGCAGAAACCTAGAGGGCCCCCTACATGTTTTATTTAACTGTGCGGTGACTGTAGTGACTTCCGAAAAATGCTTTGTAGAACAGAGCAGTAGAAAAGCAGGAATCAAGAAAGCAATACTGTATATAAAATGTCGTTTATATTAATACCCAACCTGGCATGGGTCTCTATTGCAAAAGGGTGCATGGGAAAGGGCTGTTGATATTAACAAAACAAAAAAAAGCCCCACACATAACTGTTTTGCACGTGCAAAAATTTATTGGGTCAAAGAAGTGATCTTTAGCTAATAAAAAAGGAGAATAGAAAACAAGCATGAGATATTCACAAAATACTAGCCTAGAAATATAGAGCATTAACAAAATAAAATTAATGTATTAAGTTGTAATTGGAATATGTCAAGTTTCTTTTTACATTCGTATCTTAAAGAAACCAATTTTAGCTCATGTATATTTTATATGAAAGAAAACACCCTTATGAATTGATGACTATATATAAAATTATATTCACTACTTTTGAACACATTCTGCTATGAATTATTTATATAAGCCAAAGCTATACGTTGTAACTTTTTTTTTAGAGAATAGCTTTATCTTGTTTTAACTTTTTAGTTTTATTTTAAGAGGGGAAAAAAGCAAACAAAAATATCTTGCAAGCAGAACCTTGGAAAAAAAAAGCCATGAACACTTATTATTCTATATGTAAATTAAAAGTTTGAGCCAAACTCTTTGTGTATATAGCATCTTAAATATATTATCACCTTTGATGTAAGTACCTATGTATTGTATGGTCACCAGATTAAAAAGTATATTTTTGTGGATTGCCACCAATTTGGGGGGAAAAGACGAAGTCCTTATTAAGTAGAGTATTCACTGTTTAATATTTACTATTTTGTTAAATATACTGTACTTTGGATTTTAATTATTAGCCCAGTTTTTTCAAAGGATTGTATAAAGGGGTTTCTCCCCTCACTGGTGGTGAATGTGTGATGTTACATTGTAATCTTTGTGCTGTATGGGGTGAACATCATATATTTTATATGTGTACATAAATAGCAGAGTGGCAAAAAAAATGGTGTTAAGTTCATCCTGCATAAATATAAAATGTGTTGTAACAGATTTTATAAGGCATTATTTAAAACTTGCCTTTTGTGAGGAAAAATATAGTAGAAAATATGACCTAATTTAATTACTATTAGAGAAAATGGCAAAATAGTAGATGAGCACAAAGGTTTTATAAGTGGTAAATGATTAGGGAAAAAATACTCATGAGGCAAGGGGTCCTTTTTCCTTAACCCTCTAAAAATGGAATATTGCAGCTAGTTACAAAGTATATTACATGGTGGATTGTTCTGTGCAATAAAAGGACACTGTGGTGTGGGGAGAAATTCTCTGATGGAGCAGTCCTCACCGTGACACTTGCCCTCCTAGTGAAAATGAGTGCCACCCTGAGTTGGGACTTTCAGCAAGGTCTTATTCTTACAGGAAGACAGCTCACTGATGACAGCAGGTTCATCAGTTTACTGGGCTTGTGCCATGCAAAATTCAAAGTCCTGTATATCTTTTATCATAGATTTTTAATTATTCCTTTCCATGAGAAACTCAAAAGAAGGGTTTAAAAATTGCTGCTATTTTATATTTTAAAATGGGTGAGCAGCTACCTACAATTTTTACTTACATTTTGTTTTTTTCCCCTAAATTACTTTCTGTTGACATTTTCCTCCTCTGCTCTTTGTGACAAATCATCAGCCAGATTTCCTGACTGACACATAGGTATTGGGTACAGGAGAAGCCTGTGGCGCACACGCAGGCTGAGGAGCGCAAGTTGGTGTCTCAGTGGCTCAGAACTTTTGGGAGAAGCCAGAAAGCGGTGTAGGGGGTGATAAGCTGTCTCCTCTCTTCAGCATGAACATTTGGCTCTCAGCCAAAAAGGATTGGTTTTTCTTTTAAAGTATACTTAATTTACTGGATAAGGTCCAACCTAGTCAAAACTAAGACTGTCCCCAACACTGAATTTCCAGAATAATCCTTACCACTTTGTAAACCATTTATAGCTTTGAAAGTGTTAAGTGAGCCTTTTGTTATTATTTATGCATGTTCATGAACTTCTGCTGTATATTGGCATAGGAGTTAACACATTCACATTTACTGTCTATTTTCTTGTGTGCCTTATGAGATGGCTTTTCTGACTGTATCTCAATAGTCTTTCTTTCTATGCAGGTTTATAATCAGTACAACTACTGTTTTCTAAAACAATATTACACAAGGCTCGGAGTTTGTATTTAAATTACACTGACCAAGGATCAATGTATTCCATTTTCAGGAGCTGAATATTTGACTGTTAACCTTTTCCATACGCCTAGTGTGATGTGGAGCATATGGACTCCGCAGACACCCCTCTCCCCTCATGTGCAGACACATCCGCATCCGCATCCACACCACAGCCACGTCTCCTGGCGAAAGCCAGCCTAGAGTGGGGAAGACACTAATGGCGTTGCTTTCAAACCAACTTTTCTTACCCTTTTCGACTTACGTGTTTTGTATAAGACACCACTGCAGGAAAATTTTATCCCTTCAGATGAAGTATTTTATTACTAAAAAACAAAAACAAAAAAAGCTTCCATTGCACTGGTTACAGGAAGTTCCCAACAGCTGTACTTCCTTCAATACTCTAACTGGTACTGCACTGAGAGTGAAAGTCACCATTGTGTGTACACAGATGGTCCCAATCGAAACTCCATCTTTTGAGCCCTAATTATGTCCATTGTGTTATAGACTAAATCAGGGATTTGTTCTATAGGAACAATTCATGTTTTACCATTTCCTTTTAGCCAAGGACAACGGATAATACATTAACATAATTTCTGTATCAACCATCATGCGCACAAGAAATACATAGTAAATAAGGAACCTGAGAACTCCTGGCATTGGATCATAAAAAGCTAGATGATTGGAATGTGAAAATGATTTTACAAATGTAAAACTTTTATTTCTCTGTAGAAACTTCCTTCACTTTGCTGTGCAAGAAGACACTGCTTTGCTATATTTAAAATGGCTTTTTTAAAAGAGATTTATGTATTTGGTAAATGTTTGTAGTCAACAGTTCACACAAGAAGCTGTACACGGTTTGATCATGTAAAACCGTTTGGCGGCACAAGCTGGACTTTGTTGCCATCATTGAGATGAACCTTTTAAGAAAAATAAGTTAATCTCAATTTTTCCCTGAATGTGTTGTTTTTCTTCATTATATAATAAATATTATAGTGAACTTTCCATCAAATGGTTAAGACAATGCTAGAGGTCGCTGTGAACTGTCTCCTGCACTCGCTGTAGTAAAGATGGACTGGCTCTTACCACGCTCCAAACTGTGTCATGTTTGCCTGGGGGAACAGGAAGGTGCTGGCTTTGCCACCAGCCAGCCCCTCCCCCAGAAACTCTCTGCCACCCTGCTGCCTTCACGGGGCCTTCTTGAACCTGTAGGTCCTGTTTCCTTAGACATGGGCAGGGAAGTGTCCAGGGGCCCTACCTGTCTCACCCTGTGAGCATCGGCAGCCCTGGAGCATGTAGGAGCCAGCCAGACAACCCGGCCGGCCAGGCCCCAGTGTGGTCAGCCTGGCCACTCTTTGCTTACTGGTGTGGCTCTGTTGGGTCCGTTCAGGCTCCAGTAACTATTCAGGAAATACCTTCAAGGTGTGCTAAGGAGGGAGGGATATTGTTAGTACTGTCAATAGCTTCCATTTCTCTTCAAAGTTGAGGGCATGAAAGATTTGTCCAAAGTACACACACAATGCTACAATAAAAGCAAAGACATTAACTTTGCGTTTGACTTTCAGAAGTGCTAGTTATATGTTCCAGGATGCTGGTAGGTCCTTATCTAGTGATCGTCTTTCTTGATCATAATTCAGCTAGAAAATGAAAAATATTATTTAACCTTGCAGTGGGAAATGTTCTGTTCCTCTCATTGGCCTTTAAACCAGCTCCTAACTAAGCAGATTCTTGGTGTCAGATTGTTAAAAGCTGAATTTTTGTGCTGGCTTCACATTGCTGGCTACAGTGGAGCTCTTATTAGCGGGTTTTGAAAGCTGGCTGAGTCTTATGGCTAAAAATACTCTAATCACAGCTGCAGCTACTTAAAATCAATTCACTTCAAGTTCCTAGTCAGCTCCCATGGGTGCCTTGCTCCAGGCTTTATCTTGTTTTTAAGCTGATTGTGTGTCTGACTGGCACCAGCCTTGAAAACGATCTCCAGGTGGAGCCCTGTGCCAGCCGGAGGGCTGCGGCCCACTCCTGTCCTCCTGCCCTGTGGCTCACGAGCGGCATTTGGTTGTGGATTTGTCTGTTTCTGCTGATTGGAGTCAGGCTGTGCGTCGAGCAGGAGCACCACTGCAGTGATACACTCCTAGTGCAGCGCGCAGCTGTGAGGTCCAGAGGCCTTGCTGCGCGGATCCTGACTGTTTCTACCACGTTTCTCCACAGCAGGACTGTCTTGCCCTTTGTAACTTGGAGATGCCTCAGAGGCTCTTTGAGACTGACCCTCTCCCTTTGACTCACTACATTTGGCGTCTTGTCTGCAAACACCGTTACTGGCCTGGTTCCTTCTACGTCTATTAGTCAGGATTCTGCAGTGAGGACCACTGTCTTCTATATTTGTGTGCTTACATTTTTATGGCTGCGTGAGTATTTTACTCCGCAGATGATAACACATGTTATCATTCTACTCTAGCTTTGGCCATTAGAAAACCTATCTGGCAGACTCAATGATCTTTGGGTCTCTGTTTTTGTCCCCTTTGGTATGTCCTCACTGACACCACAGCATTCCCACATTCATCTTTTATTTTCCCTCTTCCCCTACTGGCCCAACCATTTCTTCGATTCCTGCTTCATTTTATTGGTGAACGGTATTTTGAAACTAAGATCAGGGTGATTGCGACTAGGGTGTTGCTGCAAGTGGGCTCTCTGCAGATAGCACAGGACATGTCACTGCTGAGACGCATCCACATTCTGCAGGTTTTTCTTTAGACTCCAGTTCTCCAGAGTTGGTCTTGCCTTTCCTTCGTTTCAGCGTCTTTCTCTTGTGGTAGGAAACCCAGCTGTCACTAGCAGGTTTCTTCTCAGTTGTGGTGCTAGGATGCAGTTTCAGAATTGCCAACCCATACCTGTGTTAAGGACTAGAGCATTGATGCTGCTGTTTTGTTATTTGCCTTTGGCCTTAAATTCTCTGGTCAAGATCATGTTTTCCTGCAGTTTTTTGTTCCCAGCCCTCTTCTGTGGTTGTTGCTCATTGCTAACACTGTCAGACACTCCTGTTCCTCTGTTTATCCCGCTTGGGGTACTCTTGCCCATCGTAGTTGTTTGCAGTTATTTATTTGGCAATATATGACTGGTAGCTGGAGCTTTACTATACGTCTAAGAGAGCTGAGAAATGTCACTGGAACCCTATTTCCAATCTCCCGTCTTTCACACCAACTTCATATGGACAGCCAAACTTCAGTTGCTGTGCAGTCCTTTGCAAGAATCAACAGTTTTGCCTTTTCTTGCTTGACAGCACCTCTTGAAATCACTCCTCAGATGTAGAAACGTTCATCATTGCTGTTTAGGGCTGTGTAGTGCTCCATGATGTGGATGCACTGTGGTTCTCTAACTGTACATAAGCCCTCAGGCTGCAGCACTGTGGAGTTAGCAGTGACTACGGGCATGCCTTGGCCTGGCGCATACTTGCCTGTGTCCAACAGAGCTTCCTGGAGGCAGGGTCGCTCAGTGATTCATGTGCAGTTTTGTCAGGTGTTAGTCTGACAGATCTATGTACCAGTTGACACTTCCTCTAACTCTGTAGGAGAATGCCTGCATTCCCACAGCCTCCTTACCAACTGAATGTGTCCTGTGTTCTGTGTTTTTACCAGACTTGAGAAATTGCATCTCAGTGCTCACTTGTCTTTATTACAAATGATTTTTAACATTTTTTCTTATTTGGGGGGGAGGTGTGTGGGATCTGCTTTTATCTTGTTCCCATTTGAGTTTTGGTCTTTACCTCTCGATTTTTATATCAGAATTAGCCCTACATTACAAGGACTATGAGTATTTTTTGCTCCAGTTTGTGTTTGGACTTTTTGTGCATGGTATTTCTGTCTTGCAGAATTTTATTATGCAGTCATATTTTATCTTACTGCTTATGTGTGGATTTTGAGTTACATTTATAAATTTTCTCCCTATACCAAGGCTACAGAAAAATCCACCCATGTTCTCATGGGTTTTGTTTTGGTTTGATTTAGTTGATTTGGTTCACTTGAACAGAGACTCACCATGTAATGCAGATGGGCTAGAACTCAAAAGTCCTGCATTGGCCTCCACAGTGCTAGGATTACAGGCCTGTGCCAGCACACTCTTAGATCTGCTTCGGAATTTAATTTTACATAAAGATCTAACTTTGTTGTTTTACAGATGGCTAGTTGTCCCCATATATTTTTTTTCTTAAATGTATTTGGTAGTGTCTCATTACACAGCTTAGACTCATAGTGATCCAGTTTTGAGTCTCCCCAGGACTGGATTACAGGTGTGTGCCACCATGCCTGGACTCCGCCAGCTATTGGCTCAGCGAGCCCGTGGGTGGGGCTGGTGCAGCGTGCAGTACTGGGAATCAAACCCGGTCCCTGAGCTTGCCTAAGCAGGCGCTTAGTCTGCTGAGCTATATCACTGGCATAGTTGTCCCCATTTCTTTAATACCATTTCTTTAAAAGCCTTTTCCTACCCCACCATTAGTGTGTCTCATGACTAGGGCAACATATACATTTCAGTCTAATGCTGAAATTTCTGTTTGTTCCACTCTGACCACAAACTTTGGATATGTCAGAACTGCCCAGAAATGTAGCCTCAGTTCTCTGTTATGTCGGAGTTGCCTGCTTAGGATATCTCTGTTTTAACTCCTCTGTTCACAGCTTGGTGACTATTTCCTCTTCATAGCTGGTCCCCTACTTGCCCACTGAGAAACGAGTTTCAGTCACAGGAGATTTACCTCATCTCACCAGGAGGCCCAGCAGTCCATCTGCATCTGCGCACAAGCTGTGCCTTCTGTTCGGGTGCCGTGGATGAACTAGCTGCGCCTCATTAAGGTCAAGCCTTCTGTGTTGAATGCTGAGTCTCATCCAGGTGTCCCCCCCGCCGCCCCCC